TCATGACTTCATATAAAAATTTACAATTGGTTGTAAAAAAATTGAAACTATTAAATTGAGGGCGTCATTTCGTCATAAAGTTTTTGTATTACTAAAGCATAATATAACACGGCTACTTATAAACACTAGAGTTACATTATACGATTATGCCAGCCCTAAGAAAATACCAGTGAGAGACAGTGACCTGCCTCTGATTGGTCAATAAGATGAACATCCATAGAGTAACGTCACAATGACAGAAATGTTCGCAATTTAAGTTGAGAAGGCTGACATAATGAATATACAAATAACCTTATGAATTAAGTGACAACGCTGTGGCATTTATAAGCCACAGCAAAATAAGCTAATGAAGACAATAATTATTATTAATCTTGCCAGTGTCTGTACGGTTCGTATTGAATATTCTTTAGAAATATTAAATTATACATATTTAGCCCTGTTACGTTAAAAAAAACTTACTTTTAAAGTCTATGTATGAGTTTGACAATGTACTAAAAATCTGACAGCGTCTCTGGTGTTTATGTTCAAAAACATTTAACACACGCGTATAGCCCTTGGTCGAACTCATCGCTCGCATATGTCAAAAATATCGGTCAAAACTCTTAAAAACCGACCTTCTTTGAGCCGCTCTATCATATGTATAACGTAGCCCGTATCATAGAAATGATCATGTCATCGCATGTGTCAGGCCATTTCAAGTTATGGTTGACCTATTCTACCGTCCGGCCACAAGATGTACACAGGGCTAAACAAATTGAATTATTAAAGCAAAAATAGTGAGGTATCTTTTGGTAAATGAGTATTACTAAATAAACAGAGGTGACTCAAAAACCGTACCACACTAACAAGGGTGGCATACGCTACCTTATATTAAATCCTTTTTTTAATGTATTATTTGTCAATTTTTTCTTTTTTTTTATGGCACCACAGCCACTTACAATTAACAATCACACACATTGTGCATTAATAAATAATGTAGCGTTGAAATCCTTAAATACATGGGATCGAATGATATTTTGGAAACATATTTTTCAAATAACTTAATGAAAATATTATTGTCCTTTTGAAATAACTAAACGCAACTTTATTGCTAACGAAATAGTTATGGTTATTGCCTTAAATGAAAATGATTTTCACAACCGTTACATAGATTTTTGAAGTGTATTTGAGCAATCTAATCAAAAGAGAAATAATTATATTATCTATTAATAACTTTATCAATGTATCTATTAACTTACCGGTGATATTATTTGATAACAGATTGTAGTTTCAAAAAGACGTCACGGGCCTTCCCTTATAATTAAAATAATAATTTTATTTTCTAATAAATATTTTGATTTACGTCTATTGTTTATGCAACTTTAACCTTTTTGTAACGTACAAACATTTTAGGAATCATATGATTTCAATAACTTCCAAAGCTCCATTCTCGCTACAAATTTTTGCTTCATGCTGTCACTGTCTACAATTTAAAGGGCCTGATCGACGGACGAGTAAGACCGCGGTTTTATGGCTCGTCGGTAAAGCTCGCCGGTGTATCATTGCAAAACCACGGTTTTAAATACCGCCGAGCCAGGCTCGCGGCTAGTCGTCGTGCTATATTTTCAATTCTTGAATTAAATGGGTATGTGACAAAGCTTGCCTTTTTTCAATCCAACTTTTAACCCAAACTTTAGGGCGTTTTCTTTTTTTTTCATAACTGCGTAATATCCTATGGCGAGATAACGCAAGGCTTCAGACTCGGAACAAGACATGTTTGCGACTGTTTTGCTTGCTAATCGATCAGCACCAACGAGCCGCGAGCCAGGTTCGTCGGTATTTAAAACCACGGTCTTACTCGCCCGTCGATCATAGGCTTAAGTTTATTAACTAAAAGACTCGAAGGAGGAAACGTCTTTTTTGTTACCTTTTCCATAAAAGCCTATTTGACAGTATCAAATAAAGTGTTATTCTGAGTAATCTGTATATAAAATGGCTTTAAACGCATGCAGTAAAACAACTTGTTAATAATAATTAATTTATCAGAAATCCCGTAAAACGTTGCACTGGACGTTTAAGACGTTACAAGCAAGGTATCTACATCACAGGGACTAGTGCGACGCCATCTTGTCTAGCGTTATGACAGGTTGAAATTATGAATGTTGCAATTTTGATTATTTTTTAAAGCCCAACAGTTTTTAAATGAAATAAATAAAAGTAAGTGGTTTTCAAAATCTAGTATTACTTGAATCTTTGCAAATGTGTAAACAATGTCACCACAGATCCAGAGAATCTTTAACTACTCAAATCAGGGATTAAATTGCATAGAGAGCTCCGTTCTTTAGAATATTTGATAATTAGTAGATAGATAATTTTGATTTATTAAGAGAATATATTTAAACCAAATAAAGGTATCAAAAACTTTTCTCATATCTCGATTAGTCATTTGCAGATTACTAGGAGTCAGCGTGAAGTTTTTTCATGATCGACATATCAATGAAATCACATCATGGGCATTAATATGAAATTGATAAGATAATTTCTGAAGATCTCTCGATATCTTACGATAATCGACTACTAGACCGACAGCAAAACATTGATGTGAATCTAAAAAAATTAACGTATAAAAGAATAAAAAAAACGCTATAATTACATGAACAGCGCCCTTAGGCCGCGTGTCGACGAGACGGTTTCTACCCGGCACTTCGCCGGGCCGGTGCCAGTTATGTATAGAGCACCATACAAGTCTGTACATGAAACCGGCGCTAGCGCCCGTCCTACTTGGAGCCCGACTCTATGAGTGTTGCTTATTTTTTTGTACATGTACCACGCACAATTTTTTTGACTTGACAACGTCTTATTATAATTCGATGGAGCCGGCTGCACGCACGAAAAAACATGACGCATGCGGCGTTACCTCGCTCTGAGGTGTTCCATTTAATTTCTTGAAGTGCAAAATTGACATAATTGTATTTATGCGTACAAATAAATATAATTTGATCAATTCAATTGTGCTTTCCATTTACCTCCTTCTCTATATCCAAAATATCTATCTTACAAAATAAAATTAAAATTTCCTTTTGAAAAATGCAACCATTCTACAGTATTTTCTTATGACGTTGTCACGTTCAACTATCGTCAGTAAACCGACTTTACAGACAACCGATTTTTCACTTTTGAACTCGCCATAATGAGCGTTTGTACTAAATAAAAAACGACAGTCAACTGAATGACGCTACGAACCGGGTTGAAACAGTGTACATGGACAAGCTTAGACGGCGCCGGGCCGGGTAGAAAAAGTACTCGTCGACACACGCCCTTACTCTATAGCGACATGTATGCCGACGTTTTGTATGCAAGTGATTAAGTTCTGTCAATATCCGTAGCGCTGATGAACCTTGGGATCGGGTACAAAAACTGTAGCTGGGTATAGAGTATTGGAAGTGACAGTTATGAAACCCGACTTCATAAAAATCACGTCTAAAGCGAGAATACTGCAATTTGCAGTGTACGGAAAAAAAAATATTCTGTAGTTAAAAAACTTGTCCGGTTTTATTTAGACTGACCGAATAATTATGCGATTCCGAACATGCAAATTTTGCTGTTGACTATTTGTAATCGTAGCTTTGCTTTATGTGGTTAACTTTGAAACGCAATAAAGATTTAAGTTTTTGTTGGATCTTAGTTTCAACATTTGTTTCAAATCATCTCTCATTGAAAAATAAAGCACTCATCTACTGAAGTGATGACAAATACCAATGTGACGAATATCCATTGATAAAAGAATAATTTGAAAATTTATACTATATTTGTGACAATATAGACTATAGACATAATTTTTTTAATATTGGAATGAATGAAAGGCGATAACTGCCCCACAGATTGTACCTATTTAAAAAAATGAGTAATATTTTCATATGCAAAGCTCTTTGAATAATAATGAAACCTACAACTTACCTAACTAAATAAATTCATAGACAAAAATGTTATGGGCACCATAATCAATGATTTTGTAATTTTAAAAAAATAAATATAAATGTCTAAATTAAAACTTAATTAAAAATCATTTCCATCTATGACTTTACCTTACAATTAGACCTAAAACATAGTGCATATTACAAAATATTTTTAGCACATTTTTTTTCACAACTCACACCCTAAGTTTTTTTTAGAAAAAATACGTCATTTTTTATACATAATTATATCCTTCGATATTTACAACAGTCTATTTATTATACTTTGGGAATTTGTCAAATTTAAAAACACAATTGACTAAAAATAATGAAACGTCAGATTTGCCGCTCGAACACACGTCACTTGTCAAAAAACAACTGTCAATTTCTGCTAACATTTAAATAAAACATACTATCTTGAGATCGGTCACTCACTTTTTTTTAGTATTTTTCACAGTTTTATCACATTTTTTTTTAAATACTGTTTCCTCTTAGGTTGGTAGTGGATATGTATTATTTCGCCAGAGGTTTGGTTTTATTTTTGATGTGGCAACACCTATAGGCGTCGGCTGTAGACTGTCAAACTGGCATTCAGGTTTTTAATTTTTTACCCTTTTTTTTGTGGCACCTGTAGAAAAATATTTAACTTATTCATTATCATATAATAAAATGGATTAGGAAATAAGTGTGTAGTCTAGTATTTTTATATATGACGAACTAAAAAGATAAGTATTTTATACAAATGGGAATACTCAAGATATTGTAATATATATATAAGTTAAGTTCAATACTGTATAATGTGTTGTGTAGAGTGCACACGTAATTAAAATAAAAACTCTTTTAAAACTAATATAAACATATACGTTACAATTTTAGTAGAAACCGCCCTTCACAGGTATAACTCTCCTTGAGCCAGTATGGGCCAGCAGATTTCGATACGTAGTCCTCCCTACATATTTGCACACAGATATTCCCAAATTTGAAATACTAAGACAATATCAACAAACCACTGAGGCAGACTATATAATCTATGTGTATCAAGGTGTGAATAATACAGACCTGTGTGTGTCACGCGATAGAGTCAACGGCGTATTGCGGGGTGGCTCCCTCCGGCTGGTATAGGGTTATTGACGCTATGTAGTTATTGGACATCACCTGACAATATATGGTTTATTAAGAACCAGATCGCAGAACAAAAAAAATATGGGTCCATGAATGACGTTTTTTATGGATTTGAATATAATAGATAAATAAATAAACATTGAATGAAATACATAATTACACCACAATACTCGATTTTGGCCTAAGATTTCTATAACTTTATTGATATATTTTTAAGTAATTTTTGAGTATTTTCCTTCACCATATGAGCGAGTGTTTATTGCGTTCATAGAAAATCAATTTGTGTACAGCCATGATTTGAACACACGACCTCAGGGAGAGAGGCGCACTCTCACTAGACTAACACTGCCTTTTTAATTATTAGCCGCAATCTAAATTATCCGGTTTACATCTATGAATGTTTCATCCAAATATGTTAATTTAAATACAAAATTTGGGCTTATTTGAATATATCTGATGAAATAAATAGGCAGACCTAAAAATATATATAATATAAATTTACAGAATTGAAAAATAAAAAGCCGTACCTCAAAAATGATATCCTGATAACCATAGCAGAAGGTGGAGCCGAATGGGTTAGTTGTGTTCGTTGAGGACGCACGATTGAGAACAACGGGCCGTTCGCACACGCGCAAAGCACGAGACACGCTTTCCCATTTGCTGTACGCCGTAATACAGACGCCACCGCGGGACTCCACTAGTGCATTGGATTCGGACCTGGAGCATTATTATGTGGGATTAATATTTTTGAAGTGAAAACTTCTTTAGCGGCGTTGTACACTTTTTGGAATGGGTAAAAAATGTTAAACTAGCGTCAGGACAAATTCGTAAAACTGATGTTTTTTAAAGGATTATGAACCTTCGTGCTATATAGTTACTGTTTTAATTTATTTGTCTCTTTCCTCAGATACATTGTTGCATGTGGAATTGCACCTTAAGTCAATAAATCAAGGTTTAATTTTGCAAAACGTCTAAAGCTTTATTATTAACGATTTGGTCAGACTGACGACGGATGGAGAATAGACATCTGGCGCGGCGTATTTAATGTAATATAAATTGTCATGTTTGTGTACGATAGCGCAATAAATAAATATTGTATTCTACCACATAAATGATAGTACTTTAATACTAATAATTAAAGCAATTTGTGCAAAATTATTCCCTAACCAATCCAAAATATTAAAAATGCACAACGTTAATATTCAAGTTTTCACTTCTGCCGGCACTCCCGGAGTGCAACACGTAGTTTTTTATAGTATACGGGGCGAACTAAAAGAACAGCCCATGGACACCCATTTTAGTGTGTGCGTTGCCGGCTTTTGAGCAGTATACTCTTTTTTCAAATGGAGGTCGTAATCTCCCAGGGAAAAACTCCACCGGGAGTCAATTCCACAGTTCGATAGTTCGAAAAAGAAAATGTCTTGTGACAACAACACATGACATTTTCTAATCCGCATCAGGACGAAATTGTGAATTAATATGGTTGAAATTTTTCTACTTTGATTGAAGTTAGTGGATGAATCAGTACACAGTGTTTATACACTAGTTTGCGGACTGCAAGCGCGTATTTTGGAAACCATTTTGGCGACCCTTTTATTGTTACAACTTAATAATTTTTCAATGAATTTACATAAAACTATTATAATCACACAAAAACCAGTGTTTCCCAACTTAGGACCCACGCCCCACAGGGTGGCAATTTGATTGTTAAGGGGATACGAAAAGTTTTCATGTTTTGAAAATTTACTTACTGTGTTTCGTTAACAATTTTCTAGTAATTTTTCCTAAAACCTATCATCTTCTTAAGTGAACAATTATATTTTTATTATTGAAATCAAGTATGTTACCGTGTGTGCTTGCGAGACACTGAACTAACGCACGCAAATGCGCAAAAGACGCATTAAAAACAGTATAAAAATCCGTAATTTTTGAGTTTATCGAATTCAAACATGCGTACCCAACAGACTTCTTCACTACTAATATCTGAATATAAACATGACTGCATATTGCTAGGCATTCTTATACATACTTGTCAGGATGCACGTGTAGCGTAAACTCGCAGCGATGATACATATTAAAGTTGTAGTGGCCCGGATAGTTCGTGTGCAGCACGAATTTCTTCACCGAGTGCGTACGCGCATCGAACAGCACATCCAGCCCAAGCGTAAAGTAGTTGAAGAAATAGTCAGTGTGCGGCGGGGCCCGACGGCGTGCGGTCGGGCGATGTATGCGCATCTTATCATCCGCCTTGTAGTAGAGGCGGGCCGGAGCGGCCAACGCACGAGAAACCGCCTGACAACTGTCGCCAAAGCGGATCACGCGTCGGCGGCTGATAGCAGCGCCACCTCTACCGCCCTCCGCTAGCAGATGCAACCGCAACGCCACCGTACTGCTGGCGGAGCGGATGACGTCGCAACGACGTAGATGCAACTGCTGTCGGTAACACGATGGCGGGAGATCCGCTAGCGGCGCGGCCCACCGCCCTCCGCTGTTCGGCTTTGACGCTTGGTGCTGCGATCCGTAGTAGATGGTGGTCCGTGCTACTACCGGCGAACCGCCATTGGGAAATTGAAGCGAGCCCAGGCCGTGAGCGTAGCCCGGCTGGAATATATAGCACTAATGTGAATTGTAAGGCAAAATTAACAGAATATAAGTAACAATTTTCTATAAGTTTCGACGTTAAATATCAATTAGAACTTAGGAATTTAAACTAGAGTTTCGTATTATATTGCTTAGATAAAGGGAAAACAATTAGTTTTTTATCCTTATGAATAACGCGTTCATGAATATTAAACATTGGTGCGTTAGCAACCTTCTAATTTATTATGAGAGTATATTACCTCAAATTTGCTATCAACAGGAAAATAAAAGGTGAGTCCTCTAAAATTGAGCGCGAACAAATGTCGTTGGCTGTCATAGAGGCCGGGATGCGTTGCACCAAAGCAATGCTCCACTTGCTCGATAGATGGCGTTATTTCAGGTGAATTGAAACACATGCCACTGAAATATTAAAACAATCCAATCAATGCACTAACTAAATATTGAAACTCAGACAATAAGTTGGCAACATTATAACATTTGCTACTAGAATCGAGACATATCAATGATTATAAGACAAAACTTTTGCATTGTAAAGTCTCCAAATTTTTTTGTGTTGTTTGATACTAAAATTTACATCTATATATATAAAAGAAAGTCGTGTTAGTTACACTATTTTTAACTCAAGATCGGCTGAATCGAAAAATTTATCGGTCAAAACATCAGTCTAGCCGTGCATTCGTAAAAATTGTATAACAAAACTGACACGCACAACATAAGTGACATACGTAATGTTATCTATGCTTAAGTATGATTGAAAATTTGACAATTAGAAGATTTGAAGTTACTCGTTTGATGAGTGTTATTTCGAATTTCTATTAGCTTATCGTGCCGAAATTATCATTAACAATGCTCGACCAAGACGATCGAATCTATCCAAAGCCGTAATGCAATAATTGGGTGGACCGATTTTGATGTGTGTTAAAAAGAGAATAGTTCAGATTATTTATAATTAGATGTTTTTTAAGCTTGAAATTTTGTCGGGTCCGGTAGTTTCAAATAAAATCATACAGCTGTAACAATAACAATCATAATAAGATAAAACTATCATCACATGCATTTAATTAATGTTTTTAAATGTCATATTGAACTGGAAATCAGTCAAATCGTATATTGGATTGAGTCATACGATTTGACCTTAATAAATGAAAGCAATCATATTGCAATTTAAATGCAATACAAATGCATTACAACAAAAAGCATTAGACAAAGTCATGACTAGGTTTTATAATTAAGGCTTGCAAGACAGTAGAAAAAAATCATTAAAGATTTAGAGCCGAGACGTATTAGCGACTTATAGTTCGCGATAAATTTTGAATCCGAATTTTACCCTTATTTAGGAATGCTTTCATGTTTTTATTTATAACTTAATAAAACACTGATTCACCAATTACACAAGTAGGCTATCGGTTTGTATAATTTTTGGCAATTATTTAATAATTTGGTAATTATTTTTTGTGTTTGTAACAATGGAATGTTTTGGCTGTTTAGCTTAAAGGAAATTCCAATAAATGTTACTGAATCGAATTAAGAACATTTATTGAAAAATTTAAGAATGTTTTCATAAATCGAATAAGGAACATTTCTTGTGTATTCTTACGATACTTAGATAAAAACTGCATACATACCTATACCTAAGTTTAATTAATTTCATATTATATATCTCTATGATCTTAAGCCGCTGCGCGACAGGGTCGAATATTAACCGGATCCCGTCTTGGGGCATATTTATCACTATGTCTACGGAGAGAGGGTTCTGAAAAGTAATAACATTTAATGAGCAAGGGTTTTAAAACATCTGTAAAGAGTAAAGTCCTTCTATTACTAATAAAACATATCTTATTATAATTAGAGAAACTATGACACTTTAAGAGAATTTAACGCTTTTATTATTGTTTCGCCAGAATTTAAGCAAAGTCAAAATTTGTTCGTTCGTATCTTGTATACATAGAAGTAAAGCTATTTGATGAAGTAGGTCTACTTTACAATACCTACTTTCCAATTGATTTACTGTCTATCAAACAAAAAATACAGGCTTCAAGCCTGACGAAAAGTTAATTAAATTATTTTAATAGATATACTGTAATATATACAATAAATTATACAGTAATTAGAAAATTGATTGTAATGATTTTGTAAACATTCCTTCGCTCTAAAATAGCTATTCAATGTTTATTATTACTCTCGCCTGTATATAGATATTCGTGACAAAGCACTGTTCAATCTATTTTAAAACATTAATAAGTTTAGAGTTGGTACGTAAATAAAACTCTTAATAAAAATTAATATATTATTATTCTTGTCTATTACCTGATCGCTGTAGAGTACTTGAACACCTCTGATTGTGCCAACTTGACTCTGAATTATAGCAACGGCTTGCGAGAAATGCATTCCTGAAAATAAAAACAAAATCAATACGTCTAGACGTCCCGGAATAAAATCTTAGCTGTAGAACCTGGAGTAGGGAATGATTTATCATAAAACAAAATTCCCGAATAAACCCTATTGAAAAAACCCTTTACAGGTTGGCTTTTTATCCAATTGTTTTAACTTATAATTTAATTTGCTCATTAACTATAGCTCTATTAAAATGTGTACCTAGCTAACAATTGACTTATTAAATCTGATCCAAATCAAGGAAATACAAAAAAAAACATTTACGGTCTGGTCTCTATATAGTTTCGGGATCTTTTGTTTTTTTGGGTACTGTTTGGGGCTAAGGCATGCCGGTTGCATCACGATATTTTCCTTCATCGCGCGAGTATTAAATGCGCACACACACAATGAGCCCAGTGGTAGAGCCGGGGTTCGAACCTACGTCGTCAGAAAGGAGAGTCGCACGCTGAAGCAACTAGGCCCATACTTCTTTTAAAATAGTTTACCATAATTTTGAATCATTGAGCACACGGGTTGTTCATACAGTTTTGCTGCCAATGCATTTACTTAATTACTCATAGTACAATGCAAATACCAATTAGATAGATTATTAAGATAATTGTACGCAAGATCAGAGAGCATACGACACCTGTGCATTAAAGGACAGCAGCTGCGTTCGAACATACAATTTCCATTAACATTTTGTTTATAGAAATCCTAAGCAATGATTGTATTGCGAATATAACATACAACGAACTAGATAAGTTTTCTTTATTTTTAATGGCACACTATCGAAACACATACAGACTCAGAGAACATATTATGATAAAAATACAATACATACATCAATAACAATAACAACATATAAAGGGAAACATTACAATGATAAAAAAAAATAATACAATAAAAACAAACGTCAGTAAACCAGATTTCAAAATACAAGTATGAAAATTAAAAAAATTATATATTTCTTCTTTGTAATTATTATTGGTGACTGAACAATGGCTGCAGCTTTTTACGCCTGAAGACATGGAGATGACACGCATATGTAAAATCTAATACGTTTTTGACATTCCCTTGTCATACTTAGCGCTCGACGAAGCCTGTACTAATGTACAAAGAAATAGGACCAGATAAAGTCTTAGAATAACCCAAACAATAACGAGCGAAATATTTTTTGCGTCTTATCATTGTTCATTGTAGTAGTAGGTAATCAGCCGTCTGTCGAAAAATTTTAGCTGGGAATCGAAGTCTTCAAAAGGCGCTAAAAGCGAGAGTTTCCGCAAACTAAAATCCTTAAAATCCAATACTGGAGTCCTACCCAAAGTAAAACGCATTCAAGCTAAATAAACCACGAAGCGTAGAGCACACGAAAATTATCGTTTAGTTAATTCATATAGATTCCCTATATGAGATACATACATAATGCATATTGCGTATAAAGGAAAATTGTAAAGAAGCTGGCACTAGTGTGTCATTTAACGTTCTTTGTCTGCAGGTATCTATTCAAATGGAGTTGGTGACTTTCATTCGAATTGAATATGACCTACATAATATCGATCGTTCTATTCTTTATGATACTTTGTCTATACATTGTATAATTAACACTCTGCGGCTCAGTGGCTCACAGTTCACAGTGGTGTCCTGTTATGTGTTTGATTTCCATCGAAACAAACGCACATCCGCTGTGTTTTTGGGGCTACAGATAGGTATGAAAAATTTAAAAAAAAACTAGATAAACTAAAATAGATTTAAAAAAATTAAATACAATTTGCGACAACAATAAAAAATCATACAAAAACTAGATATAACACACCATGACGAAGACATTGAATTGGTATAAAATTATCTGCGTGCTCATTTATAACAAAGGAAACAATTTAAATTAAATTAAAGAAAATAAACATGCACACACTGAGATGCACTAACAACCTCTTTACTTAGATACCGGGTGTTAATGGTTACGTATTGTTGTACATTTCAATCAGTAAGTATATAGAACAATTCAAATAAAATCAAAATCATTTATTCATATAGGTACCTAACACAACGTACAATGAAGAACTGCCACTTATTTGAATAGCAAAGTTTTCGTTTTACACAATGTTTGTACGGATCTGCAACCATTACACCGTTTTCCAAATGACATCTTAAGTAATTAATAGTTAATTAATGTTAATAAAATAAATTAAAAACAAAGATTTGTCCTCTATCAGCATCAGGCATGTAAAATAGGAGCACGCGCTTACATTGTCGTGGGAACAACACGCAATTCAATTAGTGTTCCTAAAATAATCAGTACTAATAGTTTATTTCTTTTATAAGTCCGTATTAAAACAACCGATTCGTCGATACTATTGTATCCACAATATGTACTGTCAAGTACGAATATCGAACCTTACACAATCTATATATATACCTATATATATATAAAAATGTTACGTTGGTTTGTGTACGCTTCAAAAACTTTCTGCACCGATCGATCTGAAATTTTAGCATGACATATAATTCGCATCAAGGATTGTTTTTATCAGTCCACAAGTATTGTTAAAAAATTATACCACTGTAGAATCCTTATTAAATGCGCGAACTTTTAAAGCTGCTTGCCAAACTGGAGTAGTACATTTTTTTTTCAGGACGATCTGTTGAACTAGTGCGAAAAATTAATTTTGAAAACTTGGTACGGTATAAAATGACATTTTCCTACAAGTTGGAGTGATCGGCACAGGGTTTAGGATCATAGGTTACATAAAGCACTATTCGGGATGACGTAAGAGAAAAAAAAATTGGCAAAAAGTAAATATTTGTAACAACAGGAATGAAAAAACTGTCACATGGTGTACATTTTCTGGAATAAAAGGAAAATTTCCATAACTTCAAAAATACATGACTTAATTTTTTTTTAATTTTTCTGATAACTGGTGTGGCATTACCTATGAGAAAATTTCGACTTGACGTCGACTTTTGGGACATCCTGTATATTACTTTAAAATGAAATATTAGGAACAAATGTTTCAATAATTCAACGTTGGCCACGTTAAAGTGAATTACAAATACCGGCTTAAATCACGACAAAACGATATTTAGTTCAGTAATATGACTGTTTCACGCCCCTTCAACATTACGGGACTTTACACAAACAGTCCGCGACCTCATCATAAGCATGTGTGTGAGAGATTTTTGGATACGAGCGGCCAATTTTGTGATTACTTCTAAAATCTCTGTGGTACACTTTTTTAATTAAACTTTACTCTATAATAACTTTATAATATGGAAGTTTATATAGGAATGTATGTTGGTGCCAAATAGCTTGAGAAGATAAAAAAAACTATTCAGTTCATATACCGAACAGTGATGGCCTTGTGGCTTCAAACTTGCGACACTCATCTCTGAGGTCGTAGGTTTGATCCCCGGCTGTGCACCAATGAACTTTTGATATCGGCATGCCTTAAGCACAGAAGGCTGACAACTATTACCTATCAGAACGAACAAGATCATGAAACAGATAAAGAAATCTAGACCTAAAAGTAAATAAACAATACTTAAATATTTTCCAAATACATAATCACAGACTCTTTGACATGTAAAAAAAAAACTTTATATTTGATAATCATCGTGCAATATAAAACCTACAGAAGTTGATACAATGATTACCTACTATTTATACACACTTATTTGCCTTGTAATTGTCCGATAAGGCGTAAAAAGTGCGTTGACATTACTAATCGCGTTATATCATCAATAATAATTGCTATAACATTGTAGTTTAAAAGATGAAATCTTTTTTGAATTTTACTATTGAAATACAAGTATATTTTACACCGCTTATTGATAGAAACAAAACAAGTCTTATATCAAAGCATATATGCTATGCAAGCTATAGTTAGGCAGAGAAATAAGGATTTTAGAATAATGAAAGTCAAAAAGTATACCCCTTTGAAGCCTATTTAAAAATAATGTTACTTGAATTATGTCGTTTTTATACAATAAACAACACTGATTATTACTAAGGTCTGCTCTGTCTTAAGGTATTTCAAACTCGGGTTTTACTCTATTATCGTTTAATAATTACATTTGGGTATATGAATAAAACACACAATATTGTGATGGTATTTAGGCATCATTAAAATAACCAGATTTTACAAACATAGTTCCATTAATAACAATTTAATTTGTATACAAATGCTTTTAAATGTCAAATTAACATATGTACACAGATTTTTGTTTCTTTCTTTATTTCTACCCAAGTTTTGCTTAAAAACAAAAGTACTGATATTATCCAGTTTCAACGGTAAGTTTATTTTCATAATTAATATTCTACTGATAGTTGCAATTCAGTTTTGTTATTTAACTCAGTTGTAACAAGTGGAGTAACCCACATAGCTTTCAATGGGAAAATGATTTGATTTTTAAAGGGAAGGTGCCTTTATAATGTGGGTGAGGTTTTTGATCATATGTTTTGACAACAATTATAAATCATTTTACTGTTATTATTATGACATTTGCATGCAGGCACTGTGCATTATTCCCTATATTTTTTTACATCCTAACTATGAATATAAAGTTAAGTGGAACTTGAAAAAAGCTAGAAATTTGTTGTTCAAATAAAATGGAATTATCTTGTACTTATTCAGAAAATAATTAAGAGCTTAAACTTCATTAAGGTAGAGTCATTTTTAATAACATACTTATGGTAACTTATATACTTTTACACCATATATTTATAAAATAATTTCATATTGAAGATATAGAACTTGCAAAAGCATCTATGAGATAATTGTATTATAAAAACAATTTGAAAAAGTGTAAAAATAAATATGGAAGTGCATAATATTCACTGAAAAATGCCACAACTAACAGTAAAACATTTAAATTTAGAGTTGTTTACTAACTATTTCAAGGGCACTTCTGTGGTGATATGAAAAATAATTTGATATGCTGATAAAATGTAGGTGATAATTGTTTGTTTTTCAGTTAGAAATCATTATATATATTAATATAGTTGTGTCTAGGACCTTAATAAAAAATAATTATTATATTTGGAATACAGTTTTACTCGAGTAAACTTACTTAACTTAAAAAGTAATGTATGGGTGGAGAATTTGTATACAAAGAAATTGCCTTTTAAACATAAGTAAACATTTATTTTAATATTAAATAAAAAGCAAATGTTTCAACCAAGAGTAAGGAAGTTCGAGAGTACCTATCTAATTAGGCTTTGTGAAACTATTAAGCCATTCTGTAAAATTGGTTACACTCTCATAAAATACGGTATATATATACACTTTCATATTTAAAAAAAATTTAATTAGGTAACATTAAACATTAAATAGGGTGTATCAAGAGCCCCTAATATGATTTATTATAATATAGAAATTATGATAATTGCTTATTTAAAATCAGTTGAAAATGGTAATTATTAATCATCAAAACAACTGACCGTTTTCATGGTCAAGTGTAAAAAAAAATAAACATTCTAAGTTCGAACAAAGACGCGCCCGACCTATTAAAAAAATCAATGTTGCTTTATCGAGAAATGTAATGCATTCGAAATGACATTCAAACCTTTCGTATATAAACAAAATATTGCGTAAGACGTATCCCTTGGAAATACAACGCAAATTCTTGACGTAAATTAAAAACATACGAATAGCTTACCTAGGACAAATTCCCAGGCCTCACAACCCAAGGAACGTTCTGGAACGATTTCTAGATCCAACATTTTGCACTATACACACTATACACTTAAAATTAATTAACTTTCACTGAATAAAGTTATTTTTTCGCATTAAAAAGCAATATTACGCTGCCTTTCTTTGTTTGCCAACTTTAGTCTTCAACCATTTTGTATTTGTCAGGGGAACTGTCATTACAAACAGCTGATTGTATTGTGCCAGAGCCGTATTGCTATGTTATTTATTACATGTTATGCATTTTTAATGCAAATTGTTCAAAAGTATGTTCCACGAGTTATATAAGTAATATAGCAAGTAGTTTTAGGTTTAGACCATATTTCCAATTTAGTTTGAAATAAAAGTTGCATTTTTGCTTTAAATGTAAATAACTTTTAGTTAATTAATTTACATATATACTCAAATCAAAATTCTCGAACTTAAATGTGTAATTATTAATATAACCAAAACATGGTAAAATTATGCTTTAAAAGCTAATCAACGTTTTAGCTATCGCTAACAAGTGTTTTAATATAGTTCAGACTTGCTTTTTTCATGTTTATTTATAATACTTAAAACTTATCTTACTCGTAATTAAAATAATTATTTTAGTAATCGTAAAAACGTTTTTTTTAATTATATAAAAAATTTAATTTCAAAACAACGGCCCTGGCTAAAGTTTGTGACGCATGCGCACCAATTACGACTAAAATTAATATTGCAGCACTGTTTTATTTCTATCTCCTTCAGCCACACTGAAAAGTAGATATGTACAGCTCTTTCGAACCACAGTTTATGTTTTTTCGCATGTATACATATATCTTGCCTCTCTTTTCCACGTAAATGTTATTGACAAATGAGTCAGCCTAGAACAAAACGTAAGCACTTTTATAATGTTGGCAATGCTTTAGCGATAACGGAGTACAAATATACGAAAGTATTTTACTCAAAAGATTGAATATTTGTTTGAAGATTAAGCATCTAGGCATTTTCTAGTAAAAATAAAAGTATTTTGTTGGATCGTGTTTTAGGTTGAATTTAAATACAATTGAAAAAAATAATTTATATATTCCGCTAAGAAGAACAAAGAAAACATTTTCCACTCTCCTAGTGCTACAAATTATTCCCGCCATTTGGCAATGAGTAACCTTGAAACCGTCACCACCTACACAATTTTCAACGCAATATTATTGTGTAATATGTTAGTGATTTCGCCTAATAATAACGTTATAACGTAATACTACGCATCATTTACGTGTTTTTGTAAACAATGTTGTTTTTAAAAATACATTTACGCAGACGCAGTTGGCCGATATTCGCGCGATTTTTGAAAGTAAAACAATTATTGCTTCGCTCAAGGCTGTCCACTGCTATTTTGCTATTGTTTCTTATTTTAATTAAATATAAAAGCTCTAATCATCACACTATACCTACTTTACTACTGTATAACCTTTATTAATTTATAAACTCTATAGTTTATGCTTGATTCTCCAATAAACGCAATTTTTAAGACCAAGTTTATGAGACTGCTCTATCTCATACATATTTTTTATCCCGGCATGCCCTACTTACCCATCTACTGTAAGCAAAAGCAATATAAGAGCTATAATATAAAAAAAAATACCAAATTTCTAAAGGAATTATTATATAAGTAATGTTATTACACTGTTACAGAGTATCTGACTGATAGATTTTAATTTCTTTATAAAAGTTAAGTTTATAAATAATGTTGCGCAACGTGAAACCAAAGTAAATATACCAAATAAATAATGTATCTTATAAGAATAGGAATGTATAAGAATAGAATGAACTATAATAAGGATGCCTTCTCACAACATTGCTGTGCCTAGCCAAGGTCCTTATTCATTATTGTAATAAATTATGTACATAAGGAATGCAATAAAGATTTGAGTTCGAAGCTAAAACGATTTCACGCAAAGAAGCTCTGAAATAAGCTATAAGCTATATACATACATCATATAATTTCACATTATAAAATCTTCATGGTATTGAGTTAACTAAAATTATTTTCCAATTACTTATATATTGGACTAAGCTTGCAGAATTCTTGCAAATCAGTTTTTATTCATATTGAATTTGGTACATGTTGCCGCAACACAAATACGAAACCTCTTCGCTGCTCCAAACACCGACACCCCTAACAGGATTATTTTGGATTACATTGTTGCTCTTTACACTTATTGGTAATTGAATTGTTGATGACCAGGCCATAAACTCCAAAAAAAAAATTGAATTGTTGACTTTTATTGTTTGAGGTAATGAATATTTCACCTGACATTTGTAAAACCTGTCAACCTACCATGTGAGAAATGTTTTCGTGATTATCGAAAACACTGTATTAGGTAGACGGAGTACCTAGTCTGAATCACTAAAATATTACTGTCAAATATTACTCATGTATTCTGCTCTTAATAATAAATAAATTGTGCGTGTACTAGGTGTACACACGTAAGAAGTGAAACTTCTTTATGATCTTATTTTTCGAAAAATGATCTACTATATGCAACTTTACAGAAATTCGTTAAATTAGATAAAATTTAACAAAAGGCTTTTATTATCATAGACATGAATACAAATATTTCATTTTACCTTATTACTACGAAGATTATTATAGAATTTCATTAATTGTAATAGAATTATTACTATCATTGAAAAACGTGACGATTTGCTACAAAATTTCTCTCATACGTCGATAAAGAAGTTTGACTTCAAAAAGCAACATGGCGCGTAACCGAAAAATGTGACGCGTAACGAAAAAATGTTACACTAAATTTTTTTCCAACCTCGATAAAGAAGTTTCACTTCAATAATCGAGGAACTATTGTTTAGTATATATGTCACCGCAAAATTGTAAATACTTACGGTTAGGTTGTAATCTATCTCGCGAGAACGAACAAACAAATATGGTGGAGCGGGTTTATGGCCGTTTCACACTTTGACGGTTTCACTTCGATAGATTGTTTTTTTTCGTTTCGAATTCGTTAAATTGTAAGCAGCACGTTGAAGTTCACAATCTTTCAACAGTTCACAATCTCGCGAGATAGATTACAATCTAACGGTATTTACAATTTTACGGCGACAAATAAATCGTAATATCTAAAAATCAAATTGCTTGTCATATGGGAATTGGGAATTGTGATTCAATCTATGTAAAGTATATTACTGAAAATGTGCCAAAAGAATAATAATACTAACTAACATATCAACAATTTATTTATCCTTTTTCTTATTTTTTGACTTTTTGTGTTTCATCTTATGTTTTTTGCTCTTTTTCTTATGCTTCTTTGATTTAACTTCTTTTGCATCAACCCACGAATCTGAACTGGAAGACTCATCTCTTTCATCTTTACTTCTAAATTTAGGTTTAAAGTGTGTATTTGTTGATGTATTTAGTTGTAAATTGTCCGGAATTTTAGGACCATACATGTTTAACTCTACAACATCGTTTTTGTCTATTCCACTTTTTTCATCTTCTGCTTTGGTATTTATGCTCGCTTCGGTTTTTGAATTGTCTTTGTCCTTTTGAGACCTCTTCCAAGAGTTGATTTCATCGAAGTTTATATTTGCGAAGATACCACGGGGCGGGGAGTCATTTCTTTCAACATTTTTGGGTGCTTCATAGAAGTTTGTGGATGTAGTTTCATCTTCGGGTTCGCTATCGCTTAAGAATATTGCTTTGTAAAGATCTATTTTGTCGAATTTTTCAATAGTTTCAGTCACTTCTTGACCTGTGTCTTTGGACTTTTCTGATTCTTTTAAGAATAATTCCGCTACTGTCATTCTCTTGTTGGGTTGTTCTTGAACTTTTGTTGTGGATTCTTGTGTTTTAGGAATTTCTGTCGCTTTTTTTTCCGTATTGATGGATTTTGAGCCACTAAATTTGCTTTGTTCCTTCGTAAAGCTCTCTTTATTATGAACGGACGTCTCCATATACGAAAAAATTGAGTATGATACTTTTGGCTTGTCTTCTTTCTTCTGTTGTTGTCTGCAATTAAATAGGTAAAATTAATCTATAATATTAATATGTGCTTCTAAGCATCTAAAGTCGTAAAATTAAGGTTGTATTAAAAAAATCTATATTTTTCAAGCAAAAATTTTTTTCCACTTTAAACTAAGAGTGTTCTGCTAACGTAAAATATATTTAAATCTTAAAACGCCTGGTTTAACGTCCTTAATAATTTCAGAACAAACCAAAAGGTTATATATAAAGTGTGATTTGAATCATTTACAATTATGTGCTTTAATAGATATATTACTCCAATTTTTCCTTAATTATAATAAAAAAAATAACCTTTTTTCTACATACCTGCCTCCACCGATTTCTGGAACATTAAATCTTTTGCAAACTAGAGACTCTGGGCGCCAGTCAACTGTTCGCCTTGTCATAACACCAAAAGCACCTTTTTTAGCCGCCTCTACCATCTCTTCACTTGCTAAGCCATAATTGATAGAACTCTTCGCGACAGCACACATCGGGTTAAGGGCATCATCCGGTTGGGATGCGTGTGTGAATCTGTTAAAAATACACTAAATGAATAATAATTTAAAGTAGCATATATATAATATAGAAAATAAGGGATTTTTTTACTATTACTCATGAACTTAGTGACGAATAGTAATAAATAATCCAGTAGCGCTACACCTCTAAATGGGTCTTGCATCCGTATCTTTGATCATTTATTATTTTACAAGTAGGTGATCAGCCTTCTGTGTCTGACAGGTGTCATCGATTTTTGGGTTTGAGACATGCCTCACGATGTTTGCCTTCACGGTAGGAGCAAGTGCTAATTGCGCACATAGAAAGCAAATTTAATGGGTACCCTGATTCGAACGGACAGGTCAATACTGCTCTTAATGGCGAATAGCAATGCTATTAAAACATGTTTTTGCCAGATTAGCTTTTTATCAGAATTTGAACTTTTTACAAAAATAACAGATATAAGTATTGATATACTTTTCCCCTTCACATACATATAAATAAATCAATCATGTTATTTAAAATACAGACCTATCTCCCATAACACCACTGAGCGGCCGATACAACTTGGCCGCTTGCTCAAACTCCAACATCTCTCTGTCCCTCTCCCACGCAGTGACATTGTCCATATCGCTATCCCTTTCTACCAGTTTATTTTCCAGAAACCGTTCGTATCGCGATTGTTTAGATGGATCACTGGCGAATGGTTTAAATGTTTTAAGGTCAGCCCCAGAGCTTTTTATTGATATGAAATCTTCGGTCTTCTCTGTTACGAAATTAATATTCTTGCCAAATAATTTTTCCATGGTTGTTTCCGATTTGCCAGGCGTGTTTGTTGTTACCTCTGCTTGAGGCTTTGGTAGCTCTATTTTCACTTGTGCTTCTCCTAGAAGAGCACCTCTCGCTTCCGCTGTTAATTCGTGACGACCGAGGCCTGTTAAAAAATATTTTTTTTTTTTAAAGTCTATATAAATAAAAATGAATAGCAAAATATCGCTACGTGCCAAACTAGAAGAGGGCTGGACCAATTCGAGTCATTTCTTTAATTTCTTTGAACTCTGAGTGAGGGTTTTTTGGAGAAAAATACATTTAAAAACTTTAGTTTTATTTAATACTTTGGTTTCTATTCAGTAAAAACGAACTGACTCTATTGGGTAGCATAGCAAAATGTTCCCTATGTTGTTATGTAGCTACTAAATAGGCTAAGTAAAAACCATATTAAGGCGAAACGAAGTTCGCGGGGGTAGTTAGTTAATTATATAAATTATATTGGTTTTCTATTAAAAATCTTATATATAAGTAGTAGTTTTGCATATTATACTACCATCTTTAGAAAAGAGACGATGGCTTTTGTAGGAAAACTGCCCGCTAGCGTATCTGAAACCGAAGTCGGAACATCGTTCGAAACTATAAATAGGTATCAATTTAAGTAAAAAAGTAAACTTATCTTATTGACGAATAATCTTTAAAGTAAAATTCGAACTATCTACGATTTTTATCTGCAAACGGGCAGGAGGCTCATCTGATGTTAAGTGATACCGCCGCCCATGGACACTCTCAATGCCAGAGGGCTCGCGAGTGCGTTGGCGGCCTTTTAGGAATTGGTACGCTCTTTTCTTGAAGGACCCTAAGTCGAATTGGTTCGGATATACTGCAGTGAGCAGCTGGTTCCACAAAGTGGTGGTACGCGGCAAAAACTGCCTTGAAAAACGCTCAGTTGTGGAACGGCGGACGTCGAGGTGATACGGATGGAATTTCGTATTCTGCTTCGACGTCCGATGATGAAATTCAGCTGCAGGTATTAATCCGAACAACTCCTCTGAACACTCTCCATGGTAAATGCGGTAGAAGATGCAGAGTGACCCCACATCTTTACACAACGCCAAAGGATCAAGCCGCTCGGAGAGGGATTGGTCGTCGACGATTCGAACCGCTCTTCGTTGAATACGGTCAAGTGAAAGGAGCTGGTACTGGGGAGCCCCCGCCCAGAGGTGAGAACAGTACTCCATGTGGGGCCGAATTTGCGCTTTATATAGTTGCAAGCGGTGGCCCGGAGTGAAGTACCGTCTCGCCTTGCTGATCACACCAAGCTTTTTGGAGGCTAATTTAGCTTTTCCCTCCAAGTGGCCGCGAAACTGAACGTCGTTCGATATGTCAACGCCAAGTATTCCAATGGCTGGCTGTGGCTTTTAGAAGAGTGTTTTCGAAAAGAGGAATAGCGACAAAGTGTGTTTTTTTAGCGGAACACGCACAAACTTGTGTCTTCTTGGAATGAATGTGGGTGTGCTTATATGTGTGTGTGTGACACTTTTTATAATGAAAATTGATTCAAATTGGTATGGCAAGGTTACATATTTCCCTCTAGCCAATCTAAAATTTTCAATTAAATTTTATAGTGACAATATATTTAATCAAGTTATGCAACAAGCGTACAGCGCAGAAACTTACCTTGATCTCTCTGTGGCTTGTCGGTGGGTTCGAATCTTGTTCTTCTTTGAGCGGCTGGTTGCGGTCGATAGTCTCTTGGCAAAGTAGGCGCCGGGTATGAGGGCACAGCTGGTAATGGCTTATTCGATTTAACAAAACCTTCTAGAACCTGAAAACAAATGGCTTCAGTATAGTTTGGCTACCTTTTACTTTCTCTTTGTCGACAACGTTTGAATGTATTTGTGCATGTAAATAAATGATATTTAATTTATTTATTCTAGAAAAACTCGATGAATTAAAGTTTACTGTAACATGAAAAAAAAATGGCGATTAAAAAGAGTAGCGGAGAGTTTATTGCCAGTTCTTCTCTTCCGTTCTACGCCCTTGATTTGAAAACTGGCACTAAATGTAAAATTAGAAGCATTAATATGTATTTCTTTACTGACAAGTCATAAGTGTACATTATGTTACCTATATGATTAAATGATTTTTTTTTAAATTTTACTTTTTACTTTTTTTACAAAGAACCAATTTTTTTTAACTATTACTTTTGATGTAGTAGCGTACTAAATACCCAAAAGGCCAAGGCATTTAATTTGATTTAGTAAAGAATCTGCTAATTTCAAAAATAATTCAACAAACAGAAATATGTCTTTTGCTCCTAGATGAGTTATACAACTCCAAATTATTTTACTCAACTTTCCCATCCACTAATTTACTTACATTTTTCTCTCTCTGTACTGTTTGTTTGTTAATTTGTTTTTCTGGTCCAGCCAAAGCAAAGTCATAATGTGACATATCCTCTGTTGCATATATATCTTCATCGTCAGCTTCAAAAGCGCCTACACCAAACGCCTGGCCTCTTATTGATACCTAAATTCAATCAAGATATATTTTTTTTAAATTTATATACTTACTAAGAATCCTGTATTCACAACACCTAAGCAATTGAATCTTAAATATGTTTACTATAGTATTATGCCTTCTTTGACCGCAACATATTATTCACCATTTATTTCTAGTGATAAAATAAATACTTAATTTTCATTAATATCTCTATAAATAAAAGAACAATTTCTATCATAGTAACATGTTTTCTGAAGCATTCAATAATATTTCAAAACAAAAATTATTTATTTATTTAATTTTTCAAATGTAAACTGAACTTTATTGACTATAATGACTCCATTTCCAGTCTTTGATTATTTAATTGTAATTAATTATTTGCTGCATGCAATCAAAAACTATTTTTAATAATGCCAAAGAAGTATAACTTCTTACGCGCGTACATAAGTATACGCACCCTTTTTTTCTTACCTTTTTTCCCTTTTCTTTCATAACAAGTCTACTCCTTCTATCGCCACTTCCATACTCTCCCACAAGGTTACCAAGAACAGAATGCCTGCTTAGACCGCTATATCCTAACCCAAACCGATCATTCTTACGTAGAAGGATATATGGTTCATAATCATCTGGCGCAAATAGTGTCTCATATTCAAACTCAGAATCAGAACTTTCATCTGCACTGCCTTGTTTTTCCTGGAAATAGAAATTAAAAATTATAAAAATATTTTAATATTTAATAAATAGTATAAAAATAAAAGTTGAATTTATTTAGCCTCTTCGTTTTTAAAAGAAAAACTTCAGCTGCAGTATCCTTGCTTCTACTTTCTATAGTACACCTAGTAAACTTATCAATTTAATTTTCAAAACCAGAATATTACCTGCCTTACTTCTGGTGGCATATAGCATCCGTATACTTTGTGTTGCTGTTTGGCCTTTTTCCTTTCAGTTTTTGTTAACCTCTCACCAGTGCCTTGTCCATCTCTCCATCCCATAGCTCGCAACATACGTACAGCAGCCGATTCATGCACAGGTCGTAATATTTGCTCCAATACTGGTTCTCCTATACATTAATTAATGGTAACTTATTGTATTGTGTGAGACACATTTTATTGTGACAGTGTCTGCTACTGCTAATTTGAAGTTTACCTTTATACAATACCTATGTATTTAAATATAATAGATTTAATATTTATTTAATCAATATGTGAAAGTATGTTGTTGCAATAGTAGAAATTATATGTTTCCATATACATAGTTCTAAAAATTTATGATAATAAGCTGCATAAAAATAAATTGTACACTAAAAATCACAGTAATAGGGTACAAAGTATGTTCGTGCCTTGTGACCAGATGCAAAATCCTGCTGGAAAGTCCACTGTATATTTTTAAAAAGTGTATTGCTGAGAGGTTTCACAACATGATCCAAGAATATATCTTGATACACTTTGGCTGATGTTTTCACTCCTTTTTCACAAAAATGTAGTTTTGTGAATCCTTGATAAGACACGCCCCACCACACCATCACTGATGTAGGATGATGACCACGTTGTACCTTTCCGACCACTTGAGCAGCATCTTTAGAACTGTGTACACTTTATCAGTTTGCTTATTGTAGTGTTCTTCAATCGTGAAATTTTTTTCTTCGGTAAGGAGGATATTTCGGTGCTTTTCAACTGCGTGTCGCGACAGAAGGCGTTTTAATCAATCCACTCTCTTTACTTGTAAAGAATGCTTTAGGGCATGTCCTGTATATCAACGCGCAACGAGCTTCAGGTCTTGTTTTATAATACGCGACAGAGTCCTAGCGGGAATCTTCATTTCTCGCGATAAGATTTTTTGCTTCCTAATGGGGTTACAACGAATTCTGGCTTTAACAGCATTAACAGCCTTTGTAGTTCTAACAGCACGCGGCCGCCCCGTTCTTTGACGAAGTATGGTTGTATCCGTTGATAGTAGGATATACGAACATACGGCTGATACCAAGCATTTGAAGTGTCTGGAATATGACCGACGGCTCCATACCCACTTTGTGCAAGGTGATCACTGCAATCATATTTTCTTTAACACCCCATTCCATATGGTAATTTGATAATGCACACGAAAATATATGTGAAATGGCGCAATATCTTATTAATAATATACGTGTTCCAAATTAAAAATAATTAAAAATTAGAAAATATAAAAGTATTATGTAACAGCATTTATGGCCAGACTAGTATACCAATGGTGCTTCAACCTCTAGTCTAAAGGTCTGGGCCTCAGATTTCTGTATCTGTTCCATGATTATTTCTAATAGGCAACTAGGTGATTAACCCTCTGTGCCTGACACTGCTCATAAATGTATTATAGTAAATCAAATAAAATACCTGGTATTGGTCCATCATGGAACCTATTACTTTTAGCCCTCTTTTGTCCAGAGAACTCGCCCTGAGTCTGCACTTGCATGGGAGCAATACCAAACTCACTTCTATCTTCTTCATCCATATAGTCTTCGGGCTTTTGACTCTAGAATACAACAAAGTAAGAATTTCATATTAGCCTGTAGTTTTCTATCAAATATGTAAATTAAAATACTTTTAATTAAATTGTACTTATACTTTAAGTTCCTTAACACATATCTGTAATTAATAGTACTTGATTATAAATATGTATACCCACAGACAACTGTGCTTTTTCCGAACGAGAGCTCTTAAAAGTTGCTGGAGTCCAACCTTCTTGAGTGCCAACAGTATTGCCAAAGCCAGCTGAGAAGCCTCCAGTAAATGCTCCATGGAAACGGCGTCTGCCATTAGCGTCAACTGCATATTGATCTGATGGTTGTTGAAACTTACGCTTGGTTGGTATTTCATCTGAAATTTAAAAATAAAATGCTTATTAAGATAGTAGTTGGAGATTGTTTATAATGTTACGAAAACAACCTAACACATTCAGGCATGTAAAATTAATTACCTTCTTCAAACGGTTCCAGCGGTGTTCCATAGCGAATCACGTTTTCATCATCACTTTCTGAACTCATTATTAATGTTTAAAAAATGATTGAAACTAACTAAAAACTTATTTGGCAGTGAAAGATCCACTAACCAATTAAATCAAGTTTTTCTATAAGAGTTTATGTACATTTAGAAAGAGTCCCTTTACATAGGGTCTAAGGTCTAGGATAATTTATATCTTATTAAAATTTAAAATGTTTGAGTATAAATTATAATATATACACGAAATTTGAAATCTCCCATACATTTTTACGTGTTTCAGTTTTCACGAATTCCCACTACTTCATCTTTCTTGACAGATGACATTTCCACAGCCCTTTTTTGTATAGTATAGTACCACAAGAAAATCTCGTTCATAAGCCAATCTATTTATTAGTAGGGGAGCCCAAGCGGAGATTTCGTGATTTACTACAGCGTGGCAGATTAATATGTGCAGGGCGATACCTTGTACTCGGTTAAGTACCTCTACCAAATATCAGCCCTATGTATATGGCTGTCCAGTGTCTGTCAAGGATAGATGAACAGATTAGTAAAAAAATAATCATCAGAAATTCTCGAGCGCGTCAGATTAGGGTAGGGTGAGTTAATTACACGCTAAGAAGTTTTTATTTCACTAATCTGATAATTTGCAAGTAACGTAAACAAAAGGGGAGGGCTGCAAAGTTGTAAAAAAAACGTCATCTCGACATTTTCGAGCGTGGCTGATTTTTATTTTATTTTGAAGGAACTAATTCAAGGATGACGAAAAATATATATTCTGACGATTTCCACAAGCTGAAGTAAGAAAAATTCGTCGATAACGTTTAATGAGTGCAGCTGCGTGATGCTATTCCCCTCTCCGCGTTTATATTCCTCTATCTATTAGTTATTACTAACTCCGTCACCACTCTGGTTTCTGTTGCCATCGTCACAGCTGATCACACGGCTCGATCGTGGCATGATATTATTCCCAATGTTTGTGTAACATTTTGGCTTATTTTGTTATTTAAATATAACTTATGTGAATTCAAGTTTAAAAATATTACCTATGAGTAATATTAACATAAAGTTTGTATTTTGTGTTGTAACTACTTTGCAAAAATCAAAAAAAGTACATTAGAAAAATGTATAAGTAAATCCATATGTATTTTAGAATATCGTCGAAGAAACCCGGATCTTCCGGTTCATGATTTTTAAGCATTTTTTTTTAAATTATTATGTACTAAATAAAAGTTCTACTTGAACAACATACACTTTTTGCTATTCCCTGAGCTTATTAATCAATTAAGTTAAATGATTAAAAAAAAAATTATATTATCAGATTAGAGCGAATCCCTCCAGATAATCGTCAGATTATGAGACATCACGTCTAGGACATACAGGTATCTTAATCTGACGCGCTTGAGCATTTTAAAATGGCGAATTTTTATTGCACATTTACGTTTTTTCCTTACGACCACGCCCACCATGCAAACAATCAGATTAACATACGTACAACGTACATTATTAAAAATAAAAATACGTAGGAGTTAGGACATGGATGCTATCAATAACTGACGCGCTCGAGTAGAAAAAAATGTGTCACATTTTTTTTTACACTTTGAAAATCTATAGCCGCTTCCCACCGATGAAAATTAATATTATTAAATTAATAAATTATATTTTTTCTTTTTATTATCTAAGCTTGCGAAGCATCGCAACTCAATAGGTCTCTATGACGCTCGAGTAAATCCCCATTTAGCAATTTGTTATGCCCTGGAAAACTTTTGTGATTTGTAAATTGTGCCACTAAATTAATATTATATTTATAAATTATTTAATTAATATTTAATGGGCTCCCCTACTATAATTAAATATTAATTTAGTGGCACAATTTACAAATCACAAAAGTTTTTCAGGGCATAACAAATTCAAGTGTTGGATTGATGACCAATAATGAATAAACCTTTTTATTACTCCTAAAATCCAGAGACTTAGTTTAACCAGATCAGATAATTTTATTATTTTGTGGCAAAAGAGTAAATAATTGTTAATTACACATTTGACTATATATTTATTTAAAGCAAACATAAATACAGTAAGCATAAAACTTCCAAAATAAATCACAACCAATTAAATAAAAATGTTTTAAGCTTATATCACAGTACAAAGTTTTTTATATAAATTTCTTTATCTATTAGATGATTGCAATGATGCAATTTTCGGATCAAGCAGCATATCTTCAATAACACGCTGTAATTTGCCAATGGTATGAAACCTATTATCACCATTCAAACAGTTGTGTAACAACCTATCTAAATGTGGCCTGGTATTGTTGATTTGCTTAGGTATCGGGTATAGGAAAGGGTATTCATCCCCTGCTAGCACATAACATGCTGCCCATATATTATGATCACTTAAGTGATGTTGGCACAAATTTTCTATTGAGAATGTAAACCCAGTTCCTAAGACTTCTCTACTATAACGTTCATACCAGTGTGGAAGGTCTTTCTTTGGGGAAATATTTTTATCTAATACAACAATATCCTCCAGGTCTATAAATGTGATTTCATCATTATCATTGGCAACTATGTTATCTATTGACCAATCCATTAGGTAGAAACGAAATCTGAAATTAATTTTAAATATAATAGGTACACCTTGTATAAAATTGGGTGACGAATATTATGTTAGCTTTGGTATAACTATTACAATAGTGGTAATACGCATAATAATATTTAATAGAAGCAAGATCTAATAGAAGTAGTTGGATAAAATAGAAATAAATTAAATAACAAAACAACACCTGTCATGTTTGAATGTAAAATCCATAGCGGCATTGATTATTTTTTGAGCAAATTTAAGCTTTCTTAGCCAAGGTATATGACTAAGAGATGAAATAATTTCTCCCTCGTCTGCTACTACTTCTAACCTTCCACATACACCACCATAAGCTGGAACAGGCCAACCTTTAGTCTTTGGAATTATCTAGAACAACAGGAGTGCTTTATAGATTTTCTTATAAAATGTTATTGTTTTGTACATTTGTTAATAAGTTTGTTTGTTTCAATTTATCCACATCTACTGCTAGACAACTTTAATGAGTAATTAAATAGCTTTAACTACTTTAATTAGTAATTACATAGTTGAAAAATACCATACATTCACTTTTGATGATGCATTATAATATTTCAATAAGAATCTTAAGTTTGTCATCAGTACAAGTTCTTTGATTAATTCTGATTTATATTCAATAGTTATTTTTATCTGTGTTTAAAAATAATATAAAATCATAAGCACCTGTAGTATAAGTGGTTCTGGATTTAAACTTAGCATTGTCCAAACATTAATCATTTGTACTTTTTTCTTCCCATTTGCATTATTTAAGACAGGATTAATCAAATCATACACACTGTATGCATATGGACATAGAACCAAGCCTTTTCTTGGCTCAGTATCAGGCCAAGAAAGATTAAATTGAACAATTTCAATAATTTTTTGATCAACTTCAGTGGAATTTAACAGTTCCTTTGGGTTGCAGTTGCTGCTCAGATTCCAAACTTTACACAATTTGTCATCTAGTTCTTTAAACTCCCAATCATGAGCAAGTTTCTTTAGTAAAACTCGACGTTGCGATTTTGTATAGCCATAAAAAATATTTTTTGCATTAAATAGAGTGGACCAATGATTTTCTAAGATTATTTGATTAGAATATAATTCAGGACAAATTGATACACCATAGCAAGCAGGACATCGTTCTAAATTGGTTAAATGCATTATTCGATGTTCTTTGTAATTCCCAAATAACAGCACGCTGCTATAAAATGATATAGTAAACACAAAAATAATAAGAAACAGACGTTTGCAAAACCGACGCCGTAGTAACATATTCTTATTTAAATGGCCACTCATTCTTAAGTTCATTTACTGAAGATTTAAAAAATATTATTTGAGATAATATTTTAAAAACGAAAGCATTTTTTCTATTTCATTTTAACAATGCCGAAACCCGAAAATCTGTATGTGTAAAGATGATGATGATATTAATTTATCCCTATTCCCTAATGGGAAAGGCAAAGGACTAAGGAGAAAATCTGTAAAGTGTAAACAACTAAACAAGCAACCGTCAGATAATAGATTAGAGCTCAATCACTCAAAAGTCAAAATTTAGATGTCAATCTTCATATTATAACCAATGATCTCTGAGTGTATTAGTCTAATGGCGCGTCTAAACGGGCCATGTTTTGCTGCAATTGATGGCTGCACTGTTGGCCACTAATTGCCCGGCCATTACAAAAATATTTTAATGCAGCTGATGGCCGAACAATCTATGGCTGGGCAATGTGTTGCAATAGTATGGCCCATGATGCAGACTCCTAAACGGGCTACACAAACCGGCAACAATGGCTGACGAAATCACACTTGTCGCAGCAGCTTATATTGTTTTAAAAAAGAAACAGAAAAAGAAGAGATTGTGGATTCGACTTTACTTAAATAGGCGTGAAACTGTAGACAATTTGAGTCTAGAAATAAGTCTTGATAATAAATTATTCAAGAACTAGAATGTCAAAAGTAGTCATTTTTACGTAGTAATCTAACGTCAAATACAGCTGATCGCAAAACACAGAATAAAGCAACAGGCACACTTCACTCAAAGCAAACGTCATGTCGCGTAGAAAAGGATACACTATGCCATAACAAAGAGAGTGACTGAAACAACAAGAGAACTGGCCGTGCAATATTGCAGTTGAATTCGATAGCCTAGCGATCGTCCGGCCACCTATCGTGGCAACATCGGCCATATGTGGCTATACAAAACATGTTTGGCTATATGGCCGGGATATTACTGCAATATTGCATAGTGTGGCTGCTATTGTTTGCAATGTTGCCGGCCACAGTGTTGCAGCCATCAATTGCAGCAAAACATGGCCCGTTTAGACGCGCCATAAGATCCCGCTGCAGGATTGGTGTGCTCATCGACTTTTTGTTTAAAACCAAATTTTTATGTTTATTTATAATTAAGAGAATATATATTTACTAGGGTGCCTATCAAAATTTGGCCGCCATTATTTTTAATTGATTTTTGGTAAAAAATATCGTTTATTTATTTTTTAAATAAAATAACGTCTACATCACGGTAATTAATATGAAGATTCTAAAAAATCACGGTTGCCATTGCGCACCTGGCCGCACCTCTTTGCAGCCAGGTGTAAACAGGTATGATTTCGATAAATTTATACGTTTATAACCTATTTTTATTAATTATATGTCAAATTGAAGCTATTTTTTTCTATTAATTATCATATAAAGTTGCTTAATTAAATCTGGCCGCAAATAAGGGTTACTGGCTGTTAAAGATAATAAATATTTAAGGTAGAGTGAAAGAGAGTTAGCGCGTAACATCATTTGTCAGACGAGGACAGCGATTGTCGGCTGTGCATTAACGAGCACTTCTGGAATGATACATTATTAAAGTCGAGTACATTGCGTTTTTTCGTTACACAAAAATCACGACTTCATCTTTATCAATTTTATTTTACGTTAATTAATATAATAATTTTTAGATGCACAAATAAAATAACAATGTAAATATAAAACGTTGTTTATTACGAAATCCAAAACAGCGTGGTTTTTATGTTAGGATAAAAATGCTGCATCTGTTCAGTTGAGAACACTAAAACAACACTAAAACATTCGACGCATGCGCAATGGCTTAAAAGCGTCGCACAGCCTGCAATCGCTGTCCTCGTCTGACAAATGATGTTACGCGCTAACTCTCTTTCACTCTACCTTAAATATTTATTATCTTTAACAGCCAGTAACCCTTATTTGCGGCCAGATTTAATTAAGCAACTTTATATGATAATTAATGGAAAAAAATAAGCTTCAATTTGACATATAATTAATAAAAATAGGTTATAAACGTATAAATTTATCGAAATCATACCTGTTTACACCTGGCTGCAAAGAGGTGCGGCCAGGTGCGCAACGGCAACCGTGATTTTTTAGAATCTTCATATTAATTACCGTGATGTAGACGTTATTTTATTTAAAAAATAAATAAACGAATTTTTTTACCAAAAATCAATTAAAAATAATTTAATTAAAAATAATGGCGGCCAAATTTTGATAGGCACCCTAGTAAATATATATTCTCTTAATTATAAATAAACATAAAAATTTGGTTTTAAACAAAAAGTCGATGAGCACACCAATCCTGCAGCGGGATCTCGTACTATTTGAAGAAAAAATACAAATTATGATAATTGACAGTACTGTGCTCAAAAGCATTGACATTTCCAGATTTTTGACTGTAAAGTGTCAGGTGCCAAGACCAGAATCTTGAAGTCTCAAGGTCGTTTGTGCGAAGCTGCAAAATATGTTTTGTTTTGTGTATTTTTTGCAAATAAAATGTTATTTTTTAATTTATGACTAAATCGACAAAATTTAATACTTTTTGTCGACAGTTATATAACTTGTTGATAAGTGTAACTCTAACTCTCTTACCAAGTTATAGAAGTTTTCGCCAAAGTATAATCACAGTATTTAAATGTAGTAAACATGAGTTTTATTTCGAATTATGTGGATAATTACACCGCAAGTATTTACGACATGATCGGTAAGTTCAAGTTAAGTTAATAATTTTACTATATTCTACAATTGCCTATAATAATATGCCCTATTAATTATGCCTTTGTCACAAGGGTACTAAATATTTATTCCTTTTATTATGTTTTTTTTTGTTTCACAATGATGCGTCATTAACGAAACAAAAAATGCATATCCATTTAAACAAAGAGCAAATTCAGCTAAGGCAAGTTATAGTAATTCTCTATTTTGCATAAAACATTACAAAATGAAAATACCTAAAAAGATAATATTTTTTTAAGTAAATGTTTGACTAATTTCTAGACATTAGACACTATTAAGTCAAGGTAATCAGGAAATCTATATGTATATAAATTTGAATGTATTTAAAACAATTGAGTTTGTTGCTTTAATATTAAATTTTAGAACCTTCATGTCCTGCTTGGTTTTATAGCATATGTAAAAAAAATACTGTTTTAACACTTTGTGCTACAGTATAGAAATGCTTAAGATGAAATCTAGAAATATATATAATTATTTTCTGCATTATAATAAAAGCATGCAATACTTAAGCAAGGTGTGCGGAAAGTGTCAACGTTCCAGAAATACCATTGTGTATAATAGTTCCTTGCAATGCTATCATTTACTTGGGCACAAGCTGGGTTTATGTGGCTACACTCCAAAAGTTAGACAAAGATAACATGTATAATCAGTGTGCACTATAATGTCTAGATTTTGAGCTACATATAGATTTTTCTTTCATACATATATTATGTATAATTTATGAGGAAAGTTTTTAGCTAATCAATATTTTATATTTTTCAACGTCATTGACGAAATAGTTAAGGTTGTTGCGTCAACGCGAGAGAGATCAACGACATCAATCTAGTCTTCCAAACGATAATGATGTATTGTTTTCGAAACTACCTCTTAATTTGGCAGGTTAGAATAGTGGACACACTGAGTGACTAAAAAGTATGATAAGATTGATCTGATCGATATGCACTGACATTTCATTTTCGAATTTATTTCAAAGCTGCTGAAAAATTTATTGTAATATAAGGTGTCCGAAAGGAAAGGATCTGCCACTATTCATATTCCGATATGCGAAACATTACAGCGTACACGTCATTTCAATCTACTTAGGATACTATATATTTGATGTTTCTAGTTCAATTTAATTATCAATCACGAAAAATAAGTAGCATTGACTTAATGCTGTACTCAATTACCTTGAATATAAGTGGTTAAACAACAATAATTCGGTGTTATCGTAAACGTTAAATATTTAACTACCTCTATAGTTAATATAGCTACAATACTTAACAATATTTTTATTTGAATTTACGACAATTTTCGTTATAAATTTTTAAATACCTACCAGGAAAACATACCTTTACCTAACATAAAAAGTGCAGATTATTGATCATGAGTTTTTTATCTCTAAGTAAAGATTAACATATTATGTATTTCTAGTGTGTACCTACACATGAAAAGTAAATTTTCTTTCCGTTGCCTAAGCTAATAACAGTGTATTTTATAATTCTCATATATGACGATTTACATTACGCGCACCTATATTTTACTTTTTTTTTGAAACAATTCGAGCGTCGTCGTCATCCTGTACGAGAGTGGCGTCGCCAACCAGATTTAAATTGGAATTTTTTATTCTATACAAAATATTCCTCTTCTCTCAGGTTGTATTAATTTACGTTTAAATAGTATTAGTTATATATCACACATAATTACCGAACTAAAACCACTTATAGGCAGATTTTAGTCAATATCAAAATACATTCCGCAATCTGTACGTCGTTTGATGTATAATTGTTTAGTCAAGCCACTTTTCATATATCTAATTGAAATATGGGGTACAGCATGCAAAAACAAAATTTCTAAGATACAAAATAAATTAATAAAAGCACTATTTAGATACAATTCTTAAACACCTACTAATAAAATCTACCATGAAACCAAAATTATGACGATTAAACAACTATATGTTTATAGCACATTAAAAAAGCTAGCTTATTAAAAAAAATAAAAAATAACTCTCTCTATAGTAACTTATCATTTAAAAAAGTCAAATACTACACGCAATACTCGTCGAGCGAGTTTGCTTATCTTGCCAAAGCCGCGCACAAATTATTTAAAGAGGTCTATTAGGTATGAGGGTGTGCAATCGTTTAACAGTTGCCGTCTTAGGTTCGTAACATTAGCGTGTTTAATAAGTTCAAAAGGGCATTAAATATACACATCAGAATGAGCCCAATAGACTAAAATTGGGCTAGCTGATGGCGACGTGTATCGCGTTCGTATATAAATAATATAATATATAATATTAAATTTCTCATGTAAATAAAAAATAAATTTTGTAATGAGAAATAAAGTTCTTTAAATATTAATTAACGTGAAATTATGCCTTAATTATTCAATGAATAGTTAGTAGGTAATCTGTATAGACGAATTGACAATAATAGACATCGTGTATGATTGTTTAAAGTTGATTTTTTATATCAGCCTAATGAATGATAAATCTTCTAGGAGTTACAGTGCTACCGTGATGTTTTTAATAAATGCTGAGAATGCCTGGATATTTTAATGCCATATACGGCATAGATATAATCGTTTTTTCCATTAGTGCATCCTTTTGATCCACCTGTCGTGGTGAATATTCTTATTCGCATTATTTCGATCTGCGATATATATATATATATATATTTTCCGCGTGATCAGTAATTCTTCACAGCCTAGCGTAACATTATTGCTATAGAACTTGAAGTGATTTCTCGTGAATCATAGATATTTGGGAGCCTTAATAGAGATTAATAGCAGTGTTCGCATGAGCGTTCTCCTTTGAAAGGAGTCGTTCCTTCGAATCACGACTGATTTTTCTGGATTTTTCTCTCCATGTGCGCATTTGACACTAGCAGGTACGGTGCAGGCAAAACATCGTCAGGAAACCGGCATTCCTAAGAAACAAACATCGACGGCGTGTGTCAGACACAGAAAGCTGATCACCTACTTGCCTATAAGAAAAATAAGTGATGATGAAACAGATATATAAATCTATATAGAGCCCTACACAGCTTTTTTCATGTGCTATACGCCTTATCTATTATTTATTTAAAAATATTTATTTTAAATTTAATTTCATTTGTACCGAAAGAACTGACGTAGATTCGAGGACGCAGTAATAAATTACATTTTTTTGTTATGTTGACAACTCTAACGTCATTATAGTTCGACAAATCTTGATAATTAATATGAAATACAAAAGTATTTTTGTGAATAAATGCAACCTAGCAAATAATATAATTTAACCAGCAAATAGAATTACATTAGTTCGCACTGCCACGCCGCAGTTCTCTTTCTGCACAGACATCCGTTTCGCACGTATTAAATTCGTTTGACAGTGACAAGGGCCGAATATATAAAAGCCCTAAATAATTAAACGTTTACAAAACATAAGACCTCCGATCAAAGTATCTAGAGTACTAAAACTAACCTTCTTATATAATTTTTATATAAATGTTATTTGTTTAATGGCCATTGCATACGAGTTGTTCCAAATACAGATTTGTAAATATTACAAGATATCTATTTTTGCGATAAACACTGGTGAGATAAAGTAGTTTTATCGAGAATACACACCCAATACTGGTTAGGAGAGGAAAAAAATAAGCACCTGCTGTATTATCATAAGCGATGATTATGTCGTTACGTGAAAATTATATATTGCAAGGTTTTGATTAGGGATGCATCCGATACCGATGCCGATACCGATATATCGGCGATACTTTGGGTTTGCCGATATATCGGCATCGGAGATATTTTCATTGCCGATTCACCGATATTTTTCATATTTCACGCTTAAAAAAAATAATGTAAACGCGCATTTTGTATGATCTAGTTTGTTGTAAACGAGCCACGGACTATTGTTGCCCGAGAAATCCCCGAGTTTTATTCAGTTTGTTGTCTCTATCATTCGCTTGGGGACAAAGCATTATTATTTATGTATATATGTATTTCATTTCGCTAAACACTATTTATTTATTAACACTTTGTTGCATTACAAAATTAAACATAATTAAATGAAAAAGGAGGGCAAAAAATACATATTACATATAAACTAAAAAAAAGTCTACATGCAAAATAAAAAGTGCACATGAATCACGATAATTTACGATCAGTCTAACGTCAGTTAGTAGTTAGTACGAAAAACTCTTGTTGGGTTGATTAGTAGACCAAAATTTTTACTCGAGTCAACTATATTTGCCAGCTCATAGTTATTAGATATTATGGCTTGCGGGAGATCATTGAGACTTTATTGAACGTAGATTTGAAGATCATTTAGTTGGCTTTTAACTGCTATCGCGAGTAGTATTTTTTCGATACCAAATTTAATAAAATACAGAATTACAACAATGTTATCATTGTTAATTTTAATTATTAACAGTTATTTATTTTATTTTAATTGAATTATTACTCTTAATTCATAATTTTAGTAACAAAACCTTTAAAATTATTCAAAGTTTGTGACTATTTTTTGTATATATGTATATTTTTTTAATAAAAATTATAAACTTTAACTTAACTTGATATATTTTACCTTAATTTAATTCAATAAGCGTTTGTATCGGTATCGGTATCGACGATATTCCTATAAGTGTATCGGCATCGGTATCGTATCGGCAAAAAAGCGTATCGATGCATCCCTAGTTTTGATCAATTTTAGCTATTTTTTCACTGGAAGATTGCTCTTTATAAACGCGTTTAAAAATACAGCGTGTTCTTATGCAGTCTGTCTTGCCTTAAGAATCGTTTACTAAACGACTTAAAACATATACATATAAGGAAATAGATTTCTTTAAAGAAGTAATACAAAATGAAATTAATGTACAATGAAATGCATTTTAACTAGATAAGTATTAGGAAAAGATAATATAACCTATATCGACAAGGAAGAGGAGAGTAAACAGGTAGCTCCTCGGCCCTGCACAAGCTGGCCTGGCTTCCATAAAATAAATCATTCACAAGAAATATTAACTGCCCCTAATTTATTCAATTAAACATAGAAAGAAACGTTTATACAACAAAAATATTATAGATTTGGATTTTATAACATAAATAATCGGCGAGTTGACCTTGCTTATGGCTTATTATGTGCACGAAATAACTTTCCTCGAAACAGGTTTGCAAATTAAGCAGATTTGTGCACTAACACAGAAAAAAGTTTTCTCAAATAAACTCGTTGTACGCCAATATTGAAGCAAGTTTTGGGGGAATGAAACATAATTTGGCTACTAATTATTTTCCTGTTTTATATAATAACTTAAATAGATAAAAAGCATACTCTTTAAAGGCCGGCATCGCACCCACTAACATGAGCTGCGGTAGCTGCCTTTTATGGCTTTTCCATTGGCTCGTTTGTTCGTATCAAATAAAAAAGATGAATGTTTATAAGTAACATTTCATAATTAATTCCAAACTTAGAAAGACGAACTTTTCGTACCTTCAAAATGTTATTTGGAATAATTAATAAATTATTTTTAGCAGAAACTAAATTTATTCATGTGTAGTATATGTTCGAATTAATTTACAAATGTATTTTTAGTTTAATTTAATTTAAATTGTATGCAAAATATGTAATGTTATGTGTAGTGTCAATGATCCAAATAATTAATCATTCATACACGAAAGTCTATTTTCCGTAAACAACTGAATTTACATTTTTCAGTAACCATAATATGGGTAATGCAGGTCAATGACATTAAAAAAAATATATTAATATTTATTTAATCGAATAAAAATATTGAATGCTATGGCTCACTGTGGACGCCTTCTGCCACATCCAGGGGTCGTAGAACATTCAGTCAAGTTGTGTAAGATATACAGATATATAAAAATAAATTGCTGTTCGTTTGTCTTGCTAAAACTCGAGAATGGCTGGACCGATTTGGCTAGTTATGATCTTGAAATATTTGTGGAAGATCAGTGAAGGTTTTAACGGTGGGAAACATAATTATGTAAAGAAAAATACTAAAATCGACAATGAAATTTTCCGATAAAAACTGTTTCTAGTTGAATAATATAACATGTCTATTGTCTTTTTAGAAAAACAATTTTTCACTAGGTTGTATATTTATAGATTTACTTAAGTCGTATATTTAAGATTATTTGTGTTTCATAGCTGTAGCATGAGGTCCAATCTCTTAGGTCTAATTTTTGGTGATACGAAGTTTACCCGGTCATCTAGTATATTATAATAAAATAAGACGAGACCCGCGACGGGTTAAGGTCCTCCAAAGAATTCCAGAAATATATCGTTGGCTTTGTCAGTTTTCGGCAGCCGAAAACAATTTCAGCTTCACGTATAGCATCTTTCTTACAAAAACATTCTTTCCGGACCGAAACATTATACCTGGTACCATATATTCTTTCTATCTAAGGATAGAAAAAATACCAGGCCCGTACCAGGCCCGTACCAGGCCCGTACCAGGCCCGTACCAGGCCCCCTTAACAAGTCTGTGCGCGTGCTTAGTACTGTACATAAACATAACTTTGTTACTGTGTGTGATTTTTGTCGATTCGTACGATTTATTTAAATACGTTCTTTAATTTGAAGGGAGAATTCACCATATCGGCAGGTGAACATTTATATTGTTTTGTAATTTTTCCAATGTTTAATAATTGTTCTGCCAATCGGGATGGAGACAAAAACAACAAATCAAAAACCATGAGAATCGGTCCAGCCGATCTCGAATTATAAGTGTTACGATCGTGTTTTACGTTAGTAAGTATAGAGCCTAGAACTAAAACAGATAAGTTGACACAAACAGTACTATTGTCAGCAATAAACAAGCTTCAGTTAGATAATTATTATGCTACCCCAGCACCACTTTCATGACAATATCATTCTTAATCGCGTACTCGGACGAATCATACGCATTGGTCGTAGGTTATCAGTGATTAAAAAAACTAAAAAAATGGTGGAGAATCAGTGCGACGCGAGACCTGTGAAAGCATACATCATGAGTGATTTGTTGAAAAAGTTAGATTTGGAAGCGACCAACGATGTCATGAAGTTGGCGATAGCTGTTATTGGCTTCTATGTAGGCAGTTTCTACAGTAAGTATTTTATTATCTTAATATATATAAATTACGCGTCACGTTGTTTGTCCGCTATGGACTCCTAAACTACTTAACCGATTTCAATCAAATTTGCACACCGTATTCAGTTTGACCCAACTTAAAAGATAGGAATTAGGATAGCTTACATCTCATTTTATACCCGTAATATTATTTTATTGCAAAATATTTGTTTATTACTTGATTGTGACAATTCTAACAATGTCGCTGTGTTGTACCAACGTTTCACATAAACCTTTAATGGCATAACCACCAAAAAAGCATGGTGTTCTCCTACCTTTTCCCTTGAATAGTTTACTTCTATGTAATATAACAAAAACCATAGCCACAGGAACGCTTGGCCGGTCTGCTAGTAATTATATAATTATTAATTGATTAACTTAAAGGCTTTATTGTTCTTATTATATCGAGTGGTGTGTTAATTTAAATAAATAAACAATGAGACACTACTTTACTTTTAATTACTAGAGAGTAAAATTAAAATAAAATCGTTTATAAAAATTCCGGAATATAGTCATAGAACGATGTAGAACATTATATATAGTTTTTTTTATTTGCATTTTCTTTTCGCTGTATTTGTCTAATTTTTTATAATATGTAATTCATATTTTTTTAACGACATGTAAAAACTGGCGCTGTTTCTTTTACGTTGTTTTTTTAGGATTTTTTTATTTGCATTTCCTTTTCTATATATTTGTCTATGTTTTCGTTGTTTAGTAATAGTCTAAGTAAAACAGTAACATAAGCTCCGTATGCGCAACTGCAGGACACATTAGTAGAAAGCGAACCACAATAACCACCATCGCGAAGTGAAGCAACGGGTGTTTGTTTCTATAAATTTACAATAATTCCTCTTATATCAAATATCTACTTACTCCATTGCTAGTTAAGCAATAGTTAACAGTCTAAGTTATTAAAAATGTTTTTTTTACTTTTTATTAGATACCACTATATTGGAAGTAGTATATGTTGCCTTTCTGTCTAATGAGGGAATTTATCACTCTACTTTAAAAAAAACTTTACACAGCGTACATAATATTTTAAATAATGCGCACAGACAAGTAACAATAGAATAATAGATTTATTTTTGAAATTCAATTCGAAATTCAAATATCACGGCCGTTGTTAAGCTTTAAGAGTTCTCTTAGGGTAATTGTATATTTAGAATATACCTCGATCTAATTATGTGTTAAATCCGAAGCCTTCTCAATAGTTTTAACTTCTACTTTATAAATAATTATTCTCCAGTACCTTTTATATTTTTACGTAAATTTCTTACTTATTCACTAAAACATAAATTACTGACAGCCTTTAATTGCAAATACAACGTACCATGACTGCCCTCGACATAGTTTTTTAGTTTTTGTCTGTTTATTTTAATTGGTTATAAGATGATTATCCATCCGCGTTACGATATCCATGTACGTAGTTGGTCCCAAAGTTCTGTCACTGGCACATTATTTTTAAATTACGAACATGATTTTATAAAAAAATTATTGCATTCTATTTTTGATTGTTTGACTATTGTTTTAAAACAAAAAACAATCACTTTCCGTAAATTTTCAAGATGGAGTGGACATTGAAAGAAAACCGAATAGCTGTTATTGCGTTGCACCGCTGTGGGCACTCGGCGAGTACCATTTTCAAGTTGCTCAAAAATTTAAATATAACGCTTAGGTTTGTGTACCGTACTATTGATAGGTACAATGAAGTCTCCAGTGTTGAGGACAAGAAAAGAACTGGCCGGCCACGCTCCGCAAGGACACCAGCAGTGATCAAAGCTATCAAGGCGCGGATAGCAAGAAATCCTGTCCGAAAACAGAAGTTGATGGCTTTGCAGATGGGTGTCAGTAGGAAAACAGTAAAAAAGGTTTTAAATGAAGATCTTGGTCTACGGGCATACAAAAGAAAGAGTGGGCACCTACTTAATGCTCGTCTAAAAGCAATAAGGCTTAAGAGATCGCGGGGTTTGTTAAAGCGGTACGCGAAAAACCGACACCGTGATATCCTCTTTACGGACGAAAAATTTTTCGATATTGAAGAGAAGTACAATAAACAGAATGATAGAGTTTACGCTAGGAGTTCTGAAGAAGCTGGAAATAAAGTTCCGAGGGTGCAACATGGACATAATCCATCATCAGTAATGGTCTGGTTGGGAGTGTCCTATTACGGGCCAACTGAGGTTCATTTTTGCGAAAAGGGGGTCAAAACCAGTGCAAAAGTGTATCAAGACACAGTTTTGGACCAGCTTGTCAAAGACCTGCCCAGCACGCTATTTTCGGGACATCACTTTGTGTTCCAACAGGACTCTGCGCCTGCACACAAAGCCAAGACCACTCAAACCTGGTTTGAGCGTCAAAACATCGACTTAATTAGACATGAGGATTGGCCTTCTTCCTTTGGACTATAAAATTTGGCAGGTCTTAGAGAGGAAGGTCTGTGATAAACCCCATAAAAATTTGGAGTGTCTGAAGTCATCTTTAAAAAAAGCAGTCACTGAAATCGACATGAATATGGTGCGTGCTGCGATAGACGACTGGCCGCGGCGCTTAAGGGCCTGTATTAAAAATAAGGGAGGTCATTTCGAATAATTTTATGCTATTTCTATTTCTTAATTTATGTACTATTAATTGATATATCACTCATTAAAAACTGATCAGTACTTTAGTTTTTATCATTATTTCTATTTATGACAGAACTTTGGGACCGACTACGTACATCATGGATATCGTAACGCGAATTCAAAAGTGCATAGTAAAAATATATATAATAGAAATGTTTATTGTTTTAACTATAGTAAGTTTAATCACAATTTGCACATCCATCGGAAGACATAATATGTCCTAACATATTTTGTACTCGGCCACTCCTAAGACTCCTAAGTCTGTTAATTACAGGGCCTGGCAAGAACCACTAAAAAAAGGATTGACTTTAACCCCGTATAACCCTACCATAAACAACCTTATGACTTTTCATAATTGTTTTAACGACATATAGTACAAACTTGCGCTATTGTTTTACGTTGTTTTTATAGAATTTTGGTTTATTTGAATAATAATGCTTCCAAAAAACATTAAAAAAAATACAAAGTGATAAGCGTTAAAGTAAGAGGTAAAATAAATTGAGACAAATGTAAACATAATGATGATAATTCGATTGATATTGCACGTCAATGGGTCAAAGACCATTGCACTTCGGGATAAGTCATAAATAAGATAGAAAATTCGACAGTATTTCGAAATTTAAAATGGAAATATTAATAATCTGAAGCTAAAATAAAGTAATGCTAACAGGTGCCCAACCTAGGGCACGCCCTAAATAGATTTAACACATAGTATTGTCTTTTATTGATATAACCTTTACACATTTAAAGAAAAAACTTTTTAACCGGATTAAAGTTATGTATTATTATAAATTTACAATTATTTAACATAATTTTAAATTTAACCGACGTTTCGCGTGCTTTACGGCGTGCGTAAATTTATAATTATACATAACTTTAATCCGGTTAAAAAGTTTTTTCTTTAGATTTAACACAATTTATCTTTTCAAATATTAAAAGACGGTTAAATATTTAATGGTTAGAGATTAGTGCTTGAGTTAAAGCTGTTAATAGATGCATAGGTTTATATAGTCATGACGGATATAGATAAATGATGATTATAAAACAGGAGATTCACTACCTTCGATAAACGTGTACTACGCGTAATTTTAGTATGAAATTTAGTCTATGAAGAAGTAGGCAATATATTTAATAGTGATTCCTAAAATACATTATGTTCTAGACATCTCTATAGCTTTACCAGTACCTTGTGTGATAATGGGCTTATTATTATTAACAATTATTTATTATAACGTAGTGAATTAGATGTATGTCAGTGGATCATGCGATCGCAATAGCAGTGTCAGCGATATTTGTATACGATTTTGCAGTAATGTAAACAATGATTTCGTTAAAGTTATTGTGAAAATGTTATGCAATATTGAAGGTCTCTACTATATCATAGAAGTACTTCGTTTTAATTTATATTTTCAGTGACCGTAAAACAATTATCTTAAGTAAGTTATCAATAAGCATTAGGGTTCTCAACGAGACTGTATAAACAGTATATAATCTGTGCTAACTTTAAATCAGAAATGGAACTCAAAAGCTCTCAAATAATGGTTGAATTTTTTTTAAATTACGTTAAAAAATATTGTGAATATTCTTGACAATGGTTCTAATCACTATGTTGTACGACACGAGACTAAAAATATCTTATATATCTGTAAATGTTATTTAAATTATATTTTGCTATTAATAATTATTATGTAATGGCCCAAAGCTTAATAACAAAGATAGCCAGTACAAAAATAAACTATGATTGAAATTAAAAACAATTGTAACTAAGTCAGATAAAAGATAGGTTAATTTCACCCGTTATCATTATAAATAATATTGTGATCGTGAACTCTGGGTGGCATTGAGCTGGTCACATTTAATGTCACCTTATCATACACAGGATGTTCAGTTTCTACAATTTCTAATTGAACAACGGAAATGGACTTTGTTTTGATATTATTTGTCGCTCAGAATATGAAGCTAGGATGGGAATGATTTTAAACGACCTTTGAAAAAAATTAAGGAGGAAGTCAATGTGTTTTACTGTCGACCTCTTTACATTATAACCTGATTCCATAATTCCCTTTCAAGCAACGCTCATCTAAAGGCACGCTGGAGTTTCACCAATTCGTTTTAGACATCCCCATCCACACATCACGACTTTGATCGTCGTTTCTTGTAAAAACAGCAAAGAGGGCGTTCAAGTATTACGTCACGCAATTTTTGGAGATTATTGACCCCTAAAGCCGGCGTAAGATACTTGAACGCTCCCAAAGGAATAGAACTCTTTTCCCCCTTACATTTTCCTCATAGATTAATATGGGTTCATTTAAGCGGAGGTTAATGGGCATCACCTGGATAGGTGTCTCCAATAGGT